ACATGGCTAGCTTTCCTGTTGCTTTGTCACCCAAGTTTGACTCTTCCCACTCTTATGATCCCCAACTTTTCTTCTCCCCTTTTATATCACTTCCCCAAGCTATCTCCTCCTCCTCCTCTGTCATCAAGAAGCCCTCCACTATTGACTGCTCCTTTCCTGTCGCCTGCTTCCTGGTTTGTTGTTCTTCAAATTTCCCACCTTCTCCTTCTAAAGCCATTGTTTGGATAATTGAGGGTAATAAAGTAAAGACTGTGCTGAACCCTTCTAACTTAGCCAAATGAGGGGACAGCTCACTTCTAGGTCCAGCTGCTTTCATTTCTCCTCACAGGAGTGCTGCTTTCTTAACAGTACAAATGTTTATCAAAATAATCTTGCTTCTCATCGGTCCCATTTTGGCTCTGCACAAGAACATTTGAGTTTTCTGTTACATGGAGATATAATGGTGAATAGAGATTTTTAGGTCTTTGATTTTAACATGTGTACAAAGTGTGAACACTGGAGGAAAGGAAATAAATCAGGCTGATCCTGATTGCTACTGGAACTGGAGAACTCAGGGAGAAAGGTTTCATAGCAATTCCTGAGATTGAAAAACAGTACAAAAGGCTTCTTTCTTACCATTTAACCATTTGAACATTAACGGAGAAGGGCAATAACTATAAAAAAGATGGCTTCATTCCTCTGATGAAATAACAGCATTACCCATCTCTCTTCTTTGGCATAACTTATCTGACCAAGGAGACAGAGGGTGAATGGTCCAAGTGGAATGTGTGGTTGTAACTAACAGTTTCTAACACAAACTGGAGTGAAATTCCCCTGCATTCATTTTTATATATGCCATTCTGTGTCTTTTTTCTAATATTCTCATCTTAATCTTATGCTTCCAGGTAGATCTGCAAAGAAGAAAGCAAGGTAGGTAACATATAAGTAGATTGCAGTAGTGTGATTTAATACTTTTGGATCTTCAATACTTTATTTGCGTGTTCTTTTTTCTAAAACTTTAGAGGGTCAGCTGTCAAATAACGTTTAGGTCATATAACCATTGCTGCTAAATAGCATTGACTAGGCTTGGGCTGGAGCCACAGCCATCAACTGGTAATCAGAGTAGGTCAGATATGTGAAAAACCTCTTAAGTTCTTGGGAAGGAGTGGACAGTTATTTCTCCATAAGAAAAACAGCAATGTGGCCTATGTGTAAAATCCCAAAACATGAGTAGGGACCATTGAAATGTTACAAACAGGGTTGCTTTCAATCCTACAAGACTATGAGGCTGTGTGATCCAGTGTGAGGAAGTCAGCATTGGTGTTAATCGATTTTAAATCATATCAGACAAACCTTGTCTTGTGTTTAATACAGTTGCTAGATTGGTAGTCCAGCGGTCCCCAACCTTTTGGGGACCGTGGATCGGTTGGGGGGTGCAGGCTCCATGCTTGGGGGGGGCGCACACTTGCGTAACACACCCACGTGCATGCAGGGGGGCAAAATACTGAGACCCAAGATCATCCTTACTGCAGCATATCTGATTATAATATATAGATGTGAAAGCTGAGCTATGAAGAAAAGTGACAGGAGAAAAATTAATTAATTTAAAATGCACAAAATGTATTGTTGGAGGAGAGCTTTACAGATACCAGAAAGATAAATAAGTGGGTACTGCTAGAGATTCAATAATGTCATTAAAAGAAAACAGATATTATAGAATCTAGCAAAAACACTCCCAGATGTGGTCATATTGGAAGAGACCCATCTCAGAGCAATGGAACAACATCAGTTAAACACTACCTGATTCAACAGCAGTTCCATGCAAAGGGATCCTCAGGGGTTTTAAACTCAATTTGCCTTTGGGCCGCTGGAGGCAGAGTCTGGGTGAGGCTGGGCCACATCAGATTTTCCGCCAAGCGGAGCAAGAGCCCGAGGAAGCCGCCCAGGAGTTTCCTTAGCCAGCAGACAGGTGGGCTGGCTGGCAGGCTGCAGTTCTGGATGGAGGGTGCAAGAGATGGTGTCTTGGGAGAGAGTGGTGAACGAGGCAAGGCTTTTTTTGTTTTTTTTACTCTTGGCAGCAGAGAATGTGTGGCCGCTTTGGGGGGGCAGGCAAGGCGAGGGCCACAAACTATCATCTGGGGGGCCGCATGTTTGAGACCCCTGCGTCTAAGTCCAGGAGAGTAGTTGTGCTAGTATTCCAAAGGATTCACTTTGACCATATTGACGCACAAACGGACCCTAGGGAACACTTTGTTTTTGTTAAAGGACACATTGAGAACACTGAAACTATGCTGGCTTCAGTGTATGTTCCAAATGACAATCAATTGACATTTCTGGAAGAAACCTTACAGGCACTTCAGAATTTCCAAGAAGGGGATCTCATTATAGGGGGAGACCTCAATCAAACAGTGGAACAGAATATGAATAGATCCAGAAAAAAAAATCAAAATGCACAAAGCTGCTAACTTCTGAATTAAAACTAGCCAAACTCCTGAATACAGTGGTGCTTCACATTACGATGTTAATTCGTTCCAGCGAAATCGCTATAGAATGAAAACATCGTAAAGCGAAATTTAAAAGCCCATAGAAACGCATTAAAACCTGTTTAATGCGTTCTGATGGGCTTAAAACTCACCGTCCAGCGAAGATCCTCCACAGGGCGGCCATTTTCACTGCCTGTCTTGCGAGGAATCTGTCCCTAAACACAGCGGGGAGCCATTTTATTTACCCGGCGGCCGTTTTGAAACCACCGATCAGCTGTTGGAAAATCGTTTTGTAAAGAATCGGTTCCCGAAGCAAGGAACCGATCATCGCAAAGTGAAATTCCCCCATAGGAAACATCATTTTGCGATTGCAAAACGTTCATCGTAATGCAATTTCGTCGTTAAAGCGATCGTAATGCAAGGCACCACTGTATCTGATTGATATTTGGCTTTACCTACATGAATCCAAAAGAAATTATATAAACTATTTTCCAAAGCATGTTTATACCAGAATCAACTTTATCCTAATTTTTTCCTCCATGACAGATAAAGCACTTGTTTCCAACATTGACAATGTTATTTGATCTGACCACTCTTGGGTTGTAAGCTACTCTTTGAAAAAAAAAAAACAAGTGACTCTGAGATGCTGGATATTGAATAAAGCTTTACTGTTTAATGGAATGAGCACCAAGGACATAGAAACAAGACTTCAATTATATCTGGAAGAGAATGCAGCCGAAGAGACCACTGAAGCAGCTGTATGGGATGCACTCAAAGCTACCGTCTGGGGTCATATGATTTCATTGTCCTCAAGCCTGAAGAAACAAAGTAACAAAGAACTAGTACAAAACATGAAACAACTAGAAAAAAGACATAAATTAACGGGGTTCTAAGGTACAGAGGTGCCTTGCTTAACGGCGATAATCCGTTCCAGGAAAATCACCGTTAAGCGAAAACATCGTAAAGCGAAAAAAAACCCTTCAGTGCGTTCCAGTGGGGTCAAAACTCACCGTCCAGCGAAGATCCTCCGCAGGGTAGCCGTTTTCGCTGCCTATCTTGTGAGGAATCCGTCCCAGAAAACAGTGGGGAGCCATTTTGTTTACCCGGTGGCCATTTTGAAACCGCCAATTAGCTGTTTTAAAATGTTGTTTTGCGAAGAATCGGTTCCCGAAGCAGGGAACTGATCATCGCAAAGCGAAAAAACCCATTTAGACCATTGTTTTGCGATTGCAAAAAGATCATCGTAATGTGGTTTTGTCGTAATGTATGGCAATCATAAAGCGAGGCACCACTGTATATAAAGCACTAATAGCTGAAAGGAAGGCTCTAGAAACTTTGGAAAGCTCTTACATTGCTAAAAACCTGCTATACTTACATCAAAAGTTCTGGAATAATTCATCAAAGACCTTGAAGTTACTGGCTTGGAAAGTGCAAGACAAAAGAATGAACAAATTAATAACTAGAATAAAAGACCCATCAGGACAATCGAAAACCAAATCAGAAGACATTGCCTTGGAGTTTACCAAATTCTACTCTATTATATTCTACCAAAAAGCCACAGGATTCTGACATCCAAAATTACCTCCTAAACAACAAGGAAATCAGAAAAGTACAAGATCATCACTGTCTCATAACGGAAAGGCCCATAGAACAACAAGAGATTATAGACACTATTAAGGCCACAAGAACCACAAAACAGGAGGCCCAGATGGATTTGTAGGGGAGTTCTACAAAAGATATGTGCATATGGTGTCCCAGTCTCTAACATCGTGTGCTACTGCAAGTCTCTGGACAAAAGTCATTTTATTACCAGAAAATGTGGCAAAAAGACTGCTCATATAACATCATAAAAGAACCTTGAAGGATTTGATCCAAATGAAGTTTGCAGAGGAGCTACTTGGTGTAATTCTCAACTTTTGTCAGATAATACCACTTGGAGGTGTGTATATATGATGCAGCATATGGTTGGGCTTCAGTCCTACTGTAAAACACACACAGTGGATGAAATTCTCAACTAGAGTACACCCATTGAATGAGTAGGGATTTGATGAGTCTTGACTTATTCCTGGATTTCAGTCACTCCCCTGTAAGTTTTGGGAGATACAACTAACAAATCGCCAGTGCATCTGGGTCAGAGAGACCATGAAAAGAATATGTTGCTTACCAGTAGCTTTGGTTTTTCAGGTGATCTTCTGTGAGCTCAAACCATGCACAGTCCTCCCTCTGAGGGTGTTACAGTTTGAGGTGTTCTCACATGCCTTCATGGTTTTTTTACTGCCAATTTCAGTGGACTCAGGGTTGAGGGAAAAGACTAGAACTCCATCTTGACATGCACACTAGCAGGGAGTTAGAGTTCCCATCAAAAGCTGTCAGCTCTGGAAGTTATGAGTTTACAGCTGACTACAGACAACCACTTGAAAACTTGCCAGCCTTTTACATATCCACAGTATATAAGAAAGCAACCTGTTCTTTTCCCTTCTGTGATTCAGGCTCTTGCCACTTTGTTTATGTCACTGATACTCTGGAAGGCTGCTCTGTATCCATCCTGCCATTTTACTTATTTATTGTAAGATTTTTTTTGGAACCTTATTCTCTTGCAGAATGATCCAGCTCAGAGACAAAAGGTTCTGGAATATATGGTAAGCAGGATACATCAGCCTTTTGTTAGGAGGGGGTAGGGGGGCAGTGGGAATCAAGGTATGTCCTATGGAGTCACACTCACTGTAAAGGTTCATAGATAGGGTGTTGTCCTTAGATGCTCAGGTTTATATGGTGGTTGGGGTGTGTGTGTTTGCACAGTTAGTGCTAATGTACCAGCTGTGCTTGTTCTTCAGCTGTCTGCAACGCAGCGATGTATGCATCCATTGAATCGTTGTTTGGATTACTGTAACAAGCTCTATATGGAGCTCCCTTTGGAGATTATCCAGAAATTTCAACTGCAGCCAAAATGTTCACAAGGCTGGGTTACAGAGAAAATGCAACTGCCTTATCAACAGCAGTTCTGCTTCTATCAATATATATGTAGTAGCAGTGGAGGTTTTGGTTATGACCTACAAACTTGATACAGTTTGGTTCCAGGCTGACTGAAGGATCATATTCTTCCAACTAGCTGGCCTTGGCTTTGAGATATTCAGTGGAGGCCCTTTTTTAAGTCTTACCAGCCCAAGCATCATTTGATATGGAAGAGGCTTTCTTTAGCACCTGTTCAGTCTCTACAACTTGCTTCCAACGGAGACTAGACTAGCTCCTTCCCTGTTGCTCTTTTATCTCAGCAGGCTTCTGTTACTGATGGCTGTGTAATGAAGAGGCTATTAACGGATTTGCCCTATGTTTAATGGATTATTTTAGATTGTTTAATGCAGTAGTATTTTAATATTATAGTTAGCTAAATTGTATTATAACATACTATCTGATATATTTTTATCCGCATCTATTTAGTCTTATTATGGCCTTCCTTGGGTTTCAGTTTGAGAGAAAAGTTGGGATATATGTCAAAGAAATAAATACAGTGGTGCCCCGCATAGCGAGGTTAATCTGTTCCGGATTAACCTTCGCCATGGGGCAAAAAACTCACCGTTCAGCGATGTTCCTCCATAGCGGCAGCCATTTTCACGCCCTCGGTAAGCGAGGGCAGGGCGCGAAAACGCTGCGTGCGGCCATTTTGGGTTGTCCGGCGGCCACTTTGGAACCGCCGAACAGCTGATCCCCCGATGTCGCAATGCGAAGATCGGTAAGCGAAACGCTTACCGATCTTCGCAATGTGAGTTTTGCCCATTGCGACCGTCGGTATGCCTTCGCATTAGCGATCCCAAAAAACGGATCGCTATGCGAATTCATCGTCATACGGTGCGCTTGTTAAGCGAGGCACCACTGTAATAAGTAAGTCTTGGGAGTCTGCACCTTGTCAAGTATAAATGTCCTCTAATAATTCCATATCTGAAAGTAGTAAGAGATGGGGCATGCACAAGATATCTCTTTTTCTATTAATATAGGGGTTTATTCAGTGTTCCTCCCACCCCACCCCCCCAAAAAAGTCAATTGAAAGCTTACCCTGGAAAGTAATGTACAGCCGGTTAGTAGTAGTGTTAGATTTCCCCAAAAGCCTTGCAAAAACATTTCAGCAAATAACTTGGCACAGAACTCTCTCAAAGCTTTCTTCTGCCATTGCCCTGCCCCCACTGTTGCTGGTGGAGATATTCTTATGTACCTCCTAAGTGAATGAGGAAAGAGATGAAGGTCTGAATACAAAGTTGATATTGGTTTGAGATTGTTGTTATTTTCTTTCTTTCATTGTATTACTTTCTAGACACCAATGCAAATGAAATGACCTTTACTATGGCAGTTCTTAATGCTTAACACTTTGTTAAAATTTTATCAGGAAAACTTTGAGATAACATCAGATCAAGAAGCAGCTGTAGTAATAAACATTGCACAGTCTCTGTCGAAAGATTTGAAAGCTTTTTGTGAAAAGAAAGCAACTGTAAGTACTTAGTTCCACATAGGTATTATAGTATGACTATATGACAGTTGGTGTGATTGTCTGTTCTTCTCTTGGTTGCCAAATGTGTAATAATTCTGGCCACTAGCAGAACTGGAATTTCACACACACACTGTCTTCATAGCCGCTCTCTGTGGTGTCAAAAACCTGTTCTAGAGGGTCTCCCATTAACTAAAGCAGGGAGGCTGAAGGAGAAATGTGTATTCTTGATTGTGATGTTTACCCCGTTACCCCTGCTTGTATCACCAAACAGAGCTCACGCAAGTATCCCAACACATCCTTTACCTCGCTGCCACTAGTTGATCTCTGCCAACACTTTAATTATAAAGAGTGAGGTCCAAGCTGAGTATAAAGTTGAATAACACAGGTTGATTTATTACAGTTTGCTTAAACAGGTTCTTCACAGACTTTAATGTATTCATTAGATTAGTAATAACTTGTTTCACTCTTAAATCTCTTAGTTCTCTATGTTCCACACTCTTAACTGCTTCTTTTAACTCCTAACTCTGCCATCCTGCCTAACTACCACAGAGTAACTTCTACTTCAGAGTCTCATCTCTGACTCTATGTCTATCTAAACTCCTCCTCTTCCTGCTGAGTCTTTTATATCTTGTGACTCCACCCCTCCAGCACTCCCCTTGGTCTATGCAAATATCATATGAATCACCATGACCTGGGTGAATGCCACAAGGGTGTTCCTGATTCTGAAAGTGGGAGGTAGATTTAGTAGAAGTACCCAATTGGACTTTGGTCTCTATATCAATCAGTAGCAGCAATTCTAACAAACAGCCATCTGGGAAAATATACTGTACACCATTTTTCCGATTGTCTTTCTCAGGCTTCTTTTGAGAATGCAATTGTGTAATTAATCCTCTGAAGCTTTATTATATTTGAATAGCAGAAGTGCAGTGGGGTCTGTTACTAGATCTCTACAGTGGTGCCTTGCTTGATGATGTTAATTCGTTCCAGCAAAATCACTGTAGAGCGAAAACGTCAAACGAAATAAAAAACCCATTGAAATGCATTAAAAACCGGTTAATGCGTTCCAGTGGGCGAAATACCTAATCGTCCAGCGAAGATCCTCCATATGGCAGCCATTTTCGGGTGCCTGTTAAGCGAAAAATGCCTCCTAAAAACAGTGGGGAGCCATTTTAAGCAGCCAGCGGCCATTTTGAAAACCCAACTATCAGCTGTTTTGATCGTCGTAATGCGAAAAATTGGTTCCCTGCTTTGCAACCGATCGTTGCAAAGCGAAAAAAGCCCATTAAAACATTGTCGTGAAACGGATTCGTCATTATACGGGGTAATCGTTAAGCGGGCCACGACTGCACATGACTTTCAATAGATTGGTAAGGGTTTCTAACTCAGTTGTCAGAAATTAAAATTAAAGGTTTAATTCAGGAAATCCAGAAAATAATTCAAACCTTGTAACTTACTCTCCTTTTACATGTCCATTGTTGCTTAGTATTCATTTGTTTGTTTGTCAAAAGGACACAACAGCCCAAAAGCACAAATGAATCTTTACCAGTGTCAGCATGGTGTCAGTGCTAGTACAAGGTTAATTAAGAAATTATGTAACTAAAGCAACAGTATGAGACAGTAGATAAATAGAAAAATGGGACAAAGTATAATCCAGAAGTCAACTACTGTATAGCATTTCTTCGTGGTCTCTGTGATTCCTGCATCTCGGTTTGGCCCTGTGTGCAGCCACAGTCACAGTATTTGAGATCAGACTCGTCTTTTGTAAGATATCCTGCTTTTCTCACCTTCATCATGTCTGTCTGCCATGCTCCTCCCTCAGTTCTGTTTGGTCTGTTACAAGAACAAGAGCACGAGTAAGAACTTTTTAGCTTCTGCTTGAGGAATACAGCTCAACTGAGCAGGATTTTCGCTCTGACCCTTGCATTGCTTCACAAGCTGAGTCTCAGAGTAAATGCTAATAGTCTCATCTTTATGTGATTAAAACGGTTAATTTCATTAGAACACGTTTGGACTTGAGAGGCATTGTAGCGAGCCTTCGTTTAGATCAGATGGTCACACGTGGCAACACAGTGGCAACATAACTCTGGGACATTTATGGCAGCTTAACAGTTGCAGGAGGTTTTAGGATTTATGGCATGATAGCAGTTCAGCATCCTTCTTAGCTGTTTTGAGACCAATTCAGCACTTGTTCATTGATGCATTCACAACACTGAAAGAGGATCAGTGTGCCTAAACTTTGATACTGGCTCACATTTGGGACCCTCCTTGATGCTGAACATCCATATGCACATTTTGTTCAAGAGTTATATTTTAAGCACAAAGTGAATTTGATTGTTACTGCAGATGCTTCACAGCTAGCATGGGGAACTCGCATGTCCATCAGATTCATGATTACTGCTGCAAGTAGGAGACATTCCACATAAACATTTGGGAATTTCTCATTCTTACACAGGTGCTCTGTGCTTTTGAGAGGCTGTAGGTTTGTCACATTGTTCAAGTCACTATGGACAACAGCATGTTGATGCACTACAGAAATAGACAATGATATGTTCAATCACACAATGCTGCTAGTCTCACAGATGTGAGTTTGGTGCCTTCAGTTACATATTTGGCTCATGGCTGCTCACATTCCTGGAAAAGATAATATATAGGCAGATCTTCCCAGAGAACAAGTAACTAATGCACAAATAGCCTCTACACATGTATCATGATCTGCAGGGGTTAGCCTCAGATAGTACTCACTGGCTGAAATCTAGCAGCAAATCACAAGTATAATAGGCCCATTGAATTAGTGGGGATGTGGTGAGTCAACATCTATGTAAGTTCCAGTCATTCAGTAGGAATACTCCAATTATGACATACTAAGGGCTTTTAGCTACTGTCAAATGAGAGACCCACCTCACCAACTGTCATTGGGAGATGCCTTTCTTCCAGCTTTGTTTCACTAAATGTCCCGTGCCTTCTCACCTTTTCTACTCACCCCCTTGGTCATCTCCAGACTATGAGAGGACACCAGTAGTATTCTGACCAATCTGTGGTGACCAAAGCAACTGTAGTTTGCTCCCCTGTGGCTTCCCTTTCAGATGGCTCACTACAACTCCATTGTGAGATGTCCAGAGCTAAACTTGGTACACCTCGTAATTTGTTCTTCTTGTTTCAACTTACATACCGCCCCATAGTGCTGAAGTGCTCTCTGGGCAACTTACAATATAATTGCAAGGAACACTCTTCCCCCCCCCCCAAGATATAGTGGGTGTGGGTTTGTTTGTATTAGCATACCCAAACAATACCTTAACATTTTTAGACTTTTACTCTTAAAAGAAGTGGAGTGCTTTTCAAAAATTTGGGGATGCTTTTGTCTCTAAAGTAGCTGAGCTACAAGTTCTGCTGATGGTAAACAGCAGAGGCCTATTGATGTATCCTATCAGTGTTCATCTGAGTATCATAATATAATCATTTCATTGTTGCAATAATTCCAAGCAGTTTCAGTTTGTCTGTAATTACAGGCTTTATTCATTTATATTGCATCTATTTCATATGCACAAAATTACTTCAAAGTTGTTGCAACATCTAAAGGTTTTACAGTTGTTAGGAAAATAGTAGGCAGATATGTTTGAAAAGATATCCTTGCAACTTATACAGTAGTACCTCGGTTTGCAGAACACATCTGTTCTACGCAACATTACGTAGTATGGAATTTTCACAAACCGAAAAACCAGTTGTGCTATGAAAGGGGTGGCGCTAGAGGCACAATGCGCACTGGGAAAACCCTTTTGTAGTGCAAAAAGAAAAAGAAAACGTAAACCGGGGCTTTATTTCTTAGGGATTTCGGTTCATAAACCAAAAATTACATAAACTGAGGTGTTCGCAAACCGAGGTACTACTGTAGAAAGTTACAGGTGTGATTGCCATCCAAAAGTCATAACTATGAGAAATTGCAAGAAGCATTCAAGTACAAAAAATTCAGTCAAGCCTTCTTATAAAAGCATAGAAAAATATTAAAGTTTAAAAAATAAGAATATATAAAATTAAATGCAGTTTTAGTCTCTAAGAAAATTAAGAACACACACATTAAAACATTTGACTTTCTCACCCAGTATGTGTTAGATAAAAGTCTAAGTAAAACATTCCAGTGTTGATTTTCTGGTGCAACTGCTACTCAGCCCCATAATATCAGTGTTGCTGATATTCAGTGTGTGTAGTGTGACGTGACGCTGAATGAATGCCCTGATGTATATTTTGTGTGTTCTATCTCCACATATTTATGAATCTTACCAATTGTTTTCATTTCCTTTTGTTTTACTGAGGATTTTTGCCTGTAAGAAACTCTGTTTGAGTTCAATATAACTCTCCATTCACTGTGTTCCTGTTTAGTTTATGTTAGCAACTTTTGTTTCAACTAAATTTTTTAATGATTATTTCTTTAGAAGAAATTCCAACTTTAATCCTAAAGTTGGAATTCCCATCTCAGATTTTTCTTACATAGGAATTTCTGACTAACCTTTTATGAAGTCAGAAAAACCTAAAGTTCATATTTGTACATTCAACTGTTGTTTACAGTAATCTTACCTATGTTTACAAATTTTAGCCAAAACATTCCATGACTTTGTTTATGTAATCACAAAAACTGTCACACAATGAATGGAGGACTTCAAAGTGGAATTATCAGGAATTGAACTTGGTTACAGGCTGGCTGGAAATAGTGTGCTTGTGTTTGGAAACAACTAACTCAAAGCTGCATTATGAAAAGCAGTTTCATTTTCAAAGTACTTTTCCCTAAAACTTTGTAATCATTCCAGCACCTTGTGAATTCATATTTTCAAATATTGGCCATTTGTTCTCCAGCAGCTGAAAATCATCTCTATCCGTTTCCATTGTTGGGATGGGATTATGAGTCAGATTCTTTTCCTAAATTGCCCTCCGCACTGACATCAGTAGATTCACTAGCTGATAATATCAAACACCTCTCACTTTTGGAACAAACTCAAGATGGCCAAATTTCTGAGAATGGAAGTCTGTTCTCAGCTTCCACTTGTTGCTGATTAGGTACTCCAGCAGATGCAGTATCATACTGTGACTTCTAGTTCAATGTGAGGCAGGCAAATGTTGTAAATTTGGTTGGATTAACAGCAACATTTTGAAAGTGCAGTTCTTGGAGAAGAGATTGCAAAAATCTTGCTGTTCCATAAAATACATTATTAGAGAGATGCTTTCCTACTTAGAAATAATCTACATGTGGGGTACCTGTAAGCTGATGATGGTCTTTGTCTCTGGCTAGGCAGCTAATCATACATATTCATAAGTTAAATTACGAAGAGGAACAGTTTGCTTATCTGTAACTATAGTTCTTCGGGGGGTCATTTGTGAACTTTCTTCTCCTAACAGCTCACTTTTTCATAAAATGATACAAAATGCAAAAGTTAAGGTGAGCTTCCCGCAAAAAAATACCATTCTTTCATAGGTGGTTTCTTTTGAAAACGTCTGTGCAAGGAGAATAATTATGTATAGCCAGTAAGTATTCTTTTTGTTCTTTCAGCTCAAGTATATTAAAACTCTTCCATCGTTGATGTCACAAGGGGAAATAAATGAAAGTCAGCATAATCCTGTCAAACCATTTGAAAGTAACAAAGACCAACCAGGTATTTTGAGATGAGATCAACAAGAATGTGATTTTTTTTTTCAAAACATTTGTTCATTTGCATGCATTTAAAGTTTTTATTTTCTAAGTGTAGCTAAACCAGCAACATTTATAAGTTTTAGTGTGTATCACATGTCATTTATTAATTTGTTAATTGATGTATTCAACACTCACTCTCAAAATGGAGGCTATTAATATTGGGCTGAAATAGCCTCTTACACCTCTCTCATTTATTAAGTGCATCCATATAATCATAGCAAATAATTTAGATATTCCCCCCCCCCAAAAAAAGTTCATGCAGTGAGGTTTCAGAGTTTAATGCAGTAGTAGACTATGGCACAAGAGCCATGCTATAAGAGAACTACTATTAAAACTGACATTTTAAAAAGCTATCTGTGCCAGGAACTTACTGTGTTTTTTGCTCTATAAGACACATTTTTCCACCCCCCAAAAAGGGGGGGGAGTATCTATGTCTTATGAAGCGAATACTGTAAAACAGCACTCCCCAGGGCCCAGTGGGGGGAGCCTTGGAAGGGTCAGAGAATGCCTTCCAGGACCCTTCGGCGGCTCCCCCCACCCCCCGCGGGGCCAGCAGGGGCAAAATTGCAACCTTCCAGGACCTTTTGGAGGCTTGGAAAGCCTCAGAAGGGTCCTGGAAACTGGCGATTTTGCCCCCGCAGGTCCTGGGGGGGGGCTGAAGGGTCCTGGAAGGCACTCTCGGACCCTTCTGAGGCTCCCCCCACCCCCGCGGGCCCAGCGGGCTGAAATTGCCAGAATATTTTTTCCTGTTTTCCTCCCCTAAAAATGAAGTGCATCTTACGGAGAGGTGCGTCTTATGGAGCAAAAGAAATTATGGTAATTGGAAAGGTCTTCACTACACCTTTACTCCTCCAAAAGAAGAGACTTTCAGTTGAAGACAAAAAGGTACGGTTGGAGTTATGCTGCCAAAAAGCAAGTAAATTCCGAGCACAGATCAGCACTGCCTATTTAAAACACACGGACATAAAATGAAACAATTTTTTATACTAGGAGCATCTGCAAATGGCAAATTTGCAGCACAGTTTTGTGCAGTTAACATAACCATTAGTGTTCCACTCCACTTGATCCATATTTGAGGGGAAAGAGTTGTTTTTATTTAGAGAGCTTAGTCCTATGTAAGTAGAGGCTCCCCTCCATCCATTTAGGGAGTCAGAGTGGAGTTCAGTGATTAGCACTTACAATAAACAAATTGCCAAGAAGCGAAAGCACAATTGCCATTTCATAAGACAGAAACCTTCCATCAAACCTAGCTACTGTATATGCTGACTAGTGCCCATGTTAAGGTAGGTACTGTACTGCCTTCTTTGTTTGGGAAATACTGGTTCTTCTTCGGGGTCTCTGTGAATGCACGCAATAGAGTTTCTTCTGTGCCTGCACAGACACTATTGGAATCTTCTAGAGCTTCAGCACACATTTGCCAGGACCACCCCCTTTGGTGCTCATGCTCTGCCCATTCCAGAGAATGCCTCAGTTCCTTTTGTGCTGCCACTAAGATTGCCTCTCTCAATTGCAGAGCTCGACTTGCCACTTTGAAAACTCCTCTTTTTTCTTCGTCTTTTGTCCGTTCTTCTTCTCCATGCGTTTTTCCTCCTTAAAAGAGAGAGGCTATTTTTTTCCTCATTCCCTTTCCCCTTCGCTGCCTTACCATTTTATAGCCTCCTTGGGCCCCTTCAAGAGGTGCTTCCTGCCCCAACAAAGTGGTCACCGAGACTGTTGTATCTTTTTCCTTCTATACCACTTATTCAGTCAAACTCTGCCAAAATAGATCTGCTCATCCTGTAAGATCTTCTCAGGCTGGGAGATTGAGATTCCTAACGCCAAGAAAAGTCCAGAAAATGACAACCAGAAACCTGGCCATCTTGGCAGTTGCTCCACAACTTTGGAACAGCCTCCTGCAAAAAATTTGTCTGGCACTTTCACTGGGAACCTTCAAAAGGTTATTAAAAACATGATTATTTATACAGGCCTCTCCAGATTTTAAAACATCCTGAAACAATAGTGCTTTTAATAACTAACATTCAACCCTTCACCATGCTTTTATTAATGTATTTTGTTTGGTTGTTATTGACTATTTCTGTTTTTTATTTTATTGCTTTTATTACTGCATTTGTAAACAGCAACGAGTGGCCTTGGTAGCCAAATGGACAGTATAAAAATCAAATAAACAAACAAAACAGGTCAAATGCCATACTTCTAGTCCCATAGTGGCCCTGGCAACCATGTTTCACAACCTGAAGTTCTTAACAGACTGCTTTCTCTGCTTACCGCTGCTGCCGGATCTCCTAACTCAGGATCAGGGCCAGGTATTTCATCCAGACCTACAGACTCTACGCCTCACAACCTGGGAGATACTCCCTCTATAGCCCATATCTTGCACAGAAGCCCTCCACAAACCTGTTATACTTCTCTTCTGCCTGTTGTGCCAGTAACATTGGATGTTCTCCTAGCATTCCTCCTCTGTCTCTTTAAACAAGGACTTTCTCTCTCCACTCTCAAGGTATACACTGCGGCTATTGTTGCACACCAGTCTGAGAATTTGGAGCCATCTTGCTCTTCCACCATCCCACTTTCAAGAGGTTTCTCAAGGGACTACACCTCTGCCCATTCTGTCACTCACCAACTCCTCTACGGTCCCTGCAGCTCATCTTCCACTGTCTGGCACATCCCCCCTTTGACTCATGAGAGAGGTCTTAGCCTTTATGACTATTTTCCTTGTTGCCATCACCTCCTGCTTGCAGGGCCAGCAAAATTGCTTCACTCTGGATGGACCCCCTGTTCCTTTAGTTTCACTGTGACAAAATCACCCTTTTTCCCAGACCTAAGGTTGTCTCAGATTTCCTGTTGTGTTACCTATTATCTTTCCATCACCTTCCAACAATCTTGAGGGCTCCTTAAATTGACATTTGTCAAGCCCTTGCATTTTACATCTCATGTACTTCGTCTTTTCACAATTCCAAAAGACTTTTTGTTAGTTTCTGTGGCTCCACTAGAGGATCCCTGGTTTCTTCTCAAACCATATCCCACTAGATTGTGATCACAATTTGTCTATGAACTGGCTGACATGCCTCTTCCAGCCCCATGAAGGTGCAAGTCCACAAGAGCCATCACTGCCTCCATTGCCTTTCTCAGAGACATCAGTCTACCAGATATTTGTAATACTGCCACATGGTCCCAGCCTTCCACATTTGCCACTCACTGCAGGCTTGATGTCCAAGCCAAGGTTGACGCTGCGTTTGGTCACACAGTGTTAGCTTCAGTTTTCCCATGACAGCCCACCGTCTGGTAAGTCAGCTTGCTACTCACCCTATTGTGTGCATTCACAAAAACCACAACGAAGAGAGAGAGGTTACCTACCTGTAACTCTGGTTATTCGAGTGGTCATATGCAAATTCACCACATCCTGCCCATCCTCCCCTCTGTCCATCACATATGTCTTATGCTTACTTGATACTAGTGAACTGTTCATCAGCAACTGAGGCATTTTCCAGGATGGGTGGAGAAAACACACCCAACAGAGGCAGTCCTGGCAAATGCTTCCTAAAGGTCTAGAAGATTTTGAGAGTGTCTGTGTGCAAGCACAGAAGAAATTCTATTGTGAATTCACAGATGACCACTCAAAGAACCAGAGTTACAGGTAGATAACTTCTCTTTTTTATTCATCGGGAATTCTAGAGTAGTGTCATGTGGAATTTATTGTAACAGTAGTACTTTTCCAAATATTTCTATTCAATATCTGTTTTTCCAGGAGATGGTTGGACTAAGCATGGAGGTCTGACAGAGGGACTTGCAAAGTTACAGGCCCTATTACAACAGGTGCCAATTACTTCACACACCCGTGCTGATTCATCTGACTACCGACTGGGGAGGAAAACTTCTTTACATGGCCTGTATTCTAACGATCTTGCAACAGTGTCTGCTCTTAAAGGTTCGCTTGCCTTTCAACCAGGAAGCTTTCATTCTGGAATGAATAAGTGGATGAAAGAATTCAACCAGTCTGCTTCGACTTATTTCCAGTCAACCCCAGCTGAAGAAGAGTCTCCCCACTTTAGATCAGCACGAAGAAACTACATGACGAAACGTAATCAGGATGGTAACATAGATAGTAGAATAAAAAGCTGGGATAAAGTAAAGGAGTCACATGATTCAAAAGCACATCCTCTTAACCTCATCTCATATCCTCCTCCAAAACGTTATCAGGCAGGTTACCCTTCAGAAAGAAAATCCTCAAGGTATCATGATGAGCATGGAAATAGAAATGAGATGCCTTCGCCTTCCTGTTCTTCTGAAAGCAGGGGGTCTAGCTGGCCACAACAACCAGACTACCATCGATCAATCCCTGACAACAATCTGGGATCTTATCCCTCTTCTTCTAGTGGACGTTCACACAGAAATTACCACCAGCAGAATGCACAACTAGATCGTGTAATGGATGGTAACAGCAGTGATCTTATTACCAACATTATGAATCAGATTCGAGGACAGGATGCTGCTACATTGGTGAGCATACTCGAGCAGTTGCTGCCGCATTACCCGGATCTTCAAAGTAAGTGAAATACTTTTATTTTCAAATCTTACTAGTTTAATATAAAGGAGGCTGAATAGTGAGGTTGGGTATAGACTGCCTGCCCTAGAGAATGCTTCATGTAGTGAACAGACAGTTGGATTAAGCACTGGTGATATTTGTATATGAATATCCCCCCACAGGTGGAAACAACGAGGGTCCAGCCCTATAGGGCTGGGCTGTCCACTCACCATTCCGCCACTGACGCGAGCTCAGTGGAGCCTTCCTGTCACGCTGCTGTCCGCAATGGATTAGCCACTCTGTGACCTGGCAGAGGCTTGTCATCCCGCCTCCTGCCAGGAGTGGCTAATCTATTGCGGACAACCGTGTGATAGGAAGGCTCCGTTGAGCTCGTGTCAGTGGTGGGATTGTGAGTGAACCAACCCTCATAATTTCCACCTGTGTGAGGATATTTGTGTATGAATACCCCTATCTCTAACAGGGACAAATAGTATCTTCTTCTGGGTCCTGCAGACTGTTGTTCTTCCTTGCAAGAGGAGAGCCAGTGAGGATTAAGGAAATGAATGCAGCTGAATTGGTGATTAAATGGTTGACAAAAAAAAAGTGAATGCTTATGCGAGGGTGTGGAATCTTCTTCACCCAAATGGCCCTATTTATTATCAGAAACAGCCTGGGGTGGGACATGTTGCAGTTTTGGATGAGATGAAAGGCAAAAGAGGTAAGCATATACATAGCAGCTTATTTTACCTTGAAAGGTTTTATTCCAAGTTAAATAGCTTTACAAAGTGGCATTTTCACATTTAGAATTAATAGGTCGCATTATAAATGCTGGTATCATGGCGAATGTGGTGCAGTTAATTCTGTTTGGGAACCTAAGACTGGGACAACCCAAGAGTTGAATTTGATCCATGAGCCTAGGGTGTTCCCAAACCTTCTACTGCACTTTTCAGTATTGGATACATAGTTATAGTCTGATAAACTGTGTGATAAGAGAAAAATTACAAAATTCTTAGCTGCCGTGAGCATTTGAAAAAAGTTCAAGATTGAAGTCAGTTTCAAAAATGCATTGTTGTAAAAGCCAGTAGGGTATTCTGCATTTAATTTGTATTGCACACATCTTTAAATTTTGATTCCTTTATTGTTTTACTTCTCAGATAGGTTAGCAATATGAAATGTTGACCCTACAGTCAGCTGCCAATTGTGTGAAATAAATATTTGTCATAATATAGTCACACATGTAGTCACACATAAATGGTGGAAAATCAGTGATCATCATTCACCTCTAAAGCATGTGTGTAAGCATCTTCCAGAAATCCCACTCCTAACTATGTATGATCTCATCAACCTACTGCATGTGAACTTCTAGGCCAAAGGGGGTGTCTACCCCCATTCTTACACAACTATATTTCCACTGTATTTTCTGATATCCTAGTAAGAGTGCTACTATTGTTATTTTCAGAGTGACGTTAAACTGGTAACTTTTTATTTTCTCCTAGAAATAAATATTCATGCACTCGCCCAAGCTCTGAGTGAAATGAATTAATCGACGGAAACTACTGAAAGTAGATCTTCTTTCTGGAGAAAGAGGCCTCTAGAAGACTTAGACAAAATCCAATGTGTTCTGCATTACAATGCTTAAAGGTAGATATGTTAGGGTTTCTGGAGTGTAATAGAAGCAAGGTGAACCTGATTGTTATAAATATGTTTCCTGAAGTCTGTTAAACCCTTGTCTCTTGTTGTTTTTACTTACAAATGTAACATTTCGCACATTACTAAGAGAATTCTTGACAGTATCCTATTGTAAAATAAAAATAATTTTCCAGAATTGTCAGTGAATTCCTTTTTACTTCATATCACCCCTTAACCCACCATCTTGGAATCCAAGTACCATAAATCTATAAATACCACTTTTATTGTCCGGCTTAATGAGAGACAAGATATGTTCTTTGGATTTTCTTCCTGTTAAAAGACAAGAAGCTTGCTTCAATAGTGTCAAATGACAAGCTGCATTTATTTTACATAGTGAAAGTAACATAATTTTAATGCATTCCATATAAGGCCTACTTATAATAGATGTCTGTGATTCCTTCTTATTTCAGTTTATTGCTTATGTACTATCACTAGATAAGACAAGCAGGGAAGAATACTAGAAATATAGGAGGACTGTGCAAGAAGAGTATGCCCTGCATGCTCTGCAGCTTGTAGTTATGCATGCTGGAGTTCATCTATTGAAAGCAATGGGCTGTCCATGCACACACGGGAATAGTGAACTTTGTGCAAACGCCAAATGATAAAAAATAAGTAGGCTTATGGCCTCAGTTTTCATTTATCAGTCTGTGTGTCTCAGCCAGTAGTACACAGAATAAAAAAATGACAGGACTCAAATGGATTCTTTTCCATCAAAGTCCCCTTCAGCATTTCCTGCAACTTTAGTGCTCAAAGGCCTATGATAATTACTAGAGATGGGGTATTTGTATGGATGGGGAGGGGAAGGATATCGCCACCACAGGTGGCTGGGCCCTTTGGACCCTTCCCCAGAACCATCTTGGTCTATTCACCAGGCTTGGTGTGGCACATGCAGCCGTCATCAGTAACATCATTCCAATTGTGGAAGTAGCCCGATCGGTGCTTCCCAGTGGTGCTGACCATTCAGCAGGATTCGTCATCCTCGCAAGAGTGGTCAGCAACACAGGGAGGCTGGAAAGCGCTGACCAGGTTATTTCTACAACTGGCATGATGTTACCGAAGACCATCATGCGAAGCCTGGTGAATTGACTGGGATGGTTCTGGGGGGAGGGAGTGGACCTGTCTGTCACCTGTGGTGTTTCATTTTGTATTCATATCTAGAGGGATATGAATATGAAGCTCCCCTGCATACCATTACCACTGCTCGTAACGTCTAATGAGGTTACCTTGATTTGCCTCCTGAGTAGACAAGTCTCATTTTCAACCAACCTCTATGTCTACAATAGCAAGCTAATGGTTCCAAAGGTGACATATTTCCTAACGAGAAAGCAATCTCTCACAGCTCTAGCAGGGGACCCACCAATATGTAACATGAAACATCATTCATGGTCTTGGTGGTGTAACTACTGGTGTTGCTCAAGATCTCAATTTTGCAAATATTCACCATCATCCTGTTCCTGTAGCCCTGCTCTTGTCATTCAGGCTGGGAAGTTCATTATGTTGTCTTACACCACCTGGTATCATTCCCTGTTTTTATTGGGATCATTGCTCACCAGTTACGTTCCCTCTTCTTGATAACCTGGCATGGCATAATCAGCATTGGTACCTGGTGGCCAACCAACAGCATCAGCACCAGCATATGGGGGGAGGGGGAACAAAAAAATTGTAAGTAGAACCGGACCTCAGATCAGCATCAAATTTGGCACAGATTGAGCAGGAAGTCTGCTCTTGGTCTGTGCTTAATTTGGGGAGGTTTGGGTTAGGGCTTTCGAGTTGTGATTTTTTAAAAATAATTTTTATCCCCTTGCAGAACCAAGCAACCGTTTCAACAGCTCTTAAAAAAGAGATGAAAAACAGATAAGACAAAATTTGCATACCTGGGGAATAAAACCTGTTTTAACTTTTTTTGTTTTGTCCACAGGAATTGGGCCATTGACGGCTCTAATTCAGACCCTTTAATTACTGCTTTTAAACCCCAAAAACTTCTGAAATCTCTTTTAAAATAATTTCTACGAATTCTGGAAAAATTATTTGCATAGGCTTCTGGTTAATCAGAATGTGTCTGGAGTCAGCCTACAAGGCAGGTGTGTGTCACTTTTAACATTGGCATGGCTTTCAGTGTGAAATAAATCATTTAACTCCTTCCTGGCCACACATTCTTGGCTCCTTCCTGTGGAAATATTTTAAAAGCTATTTAAAAAAATAAATATACAGAAACTCACCCATTTAAGCTGTGAAATTACAATTTTTCCCCTTTGTGGCTTTGAATGATCTCAAAGCATGTTTGACCCAATTTACTTGTAAGTTGACCCAGTTTTACAGATCCATATGATTTATCTGATTTACTCATAACTTAGTAATTTTCTAATATTTTTTGATGTTATCCTCCCTAAACCAATGCCAGAACATAGATCCTTTTTGCACCCACAGACTACACCACAGTGCATGGTTTTGCAGTGGTGCAAAATATGTATTTCATGCATGGATCCTCATAGATTCCCATGATTTTTAACTCGAATGATCCCCAAACCACTGTCCAGTCACAGGCTCCATTTGTACTCATAGATTAAAACAGAAACCATGACTCCAGATACATTTTGATTGGTCAGAATGCAATGCTAAGCAAATAGTTCAGTCATTCAGAATGTTCACATTCCTGCTATATGTACATGGCACAACAGACTCAAGTTACTCATTTTTGCTCCAGTGATTGACTTGATTGAGCATTCTGATTTAGTATCTCTACTAGAGATGGGGATGAAATGCCAAAATGGGGCTTTGTCTTGGTTCGTGGGTCATCAACTTTGATAACCTATGAACCACGAATTGCCCCCATGGATGAACGAACCACAAATTAATTTGTCTGTTGGGTCTTTTTTTAATAAGATACCCCGTGGGGCATCTAAAAAAAAGCCCCCCACCCACATAGTCCGCTACACCCCCTTCCCACTGCCACTTACCTTCCCAGCTGCTTTCTTCTGCTCTGTGGCGGCTTCTGCCAAAACAGAAGCTAGATTGCTGGAACTGTGGTTTCTGTTCCAGCAGCCTAACTCTTGCTAGGAGCAGTGGGGAGGGCTTCCCTTTAGAAAAGCCTGACCGGGTTGATTTCCCCCACCCTGCTGTCTTTGCACAGATAGCAGGGGTGGGAGGTCACTTATGTCAGGCTCCCCCTGTCTTTTTATGCTGCAGGTGTATATAGAAAGACAGGAAGCTTGAGCAAAGTGATGCCCCCCCCCCTGCGCTTTTCGTAAACGGGGATGGGATTCCCTTCAGGCAGGCTTTAGCGAGCTGCCTTAAGGGAAAACCCCTCTCTGCTTATGCCCCCAAGGAACAGATGATCTGCAGGGGCGTAAGCAGATAGGGATAGACGAAGGGATGAATATAAACGGGTTATATTCGTTGCTTTGTATTCCTTAGGCTAAGCAGATAGGGATAGATGAAGGGATGAACGGGTTATATTCGTTGCTTTGTATTCATTACGCTCTGGACCTCAAGAATACGAAGCAACAAATATCTGCTAAGTCAGCAATATTCATTGAATATTGTGATTCATTTTTATATTTGTCCCCATGTCTAATCTCTACCAACACAATTTCAAATTACTTGATTTTTGTCCGTTTTTCTTCACTACCTTTCACATAATATGCATAATTTTGACATTGCTTTCCAGTGACATTCTTTCCTAATTCTTAACTGTCTTGCCCTTCAACTTACCTTAAGTGGTAAATGTAGTAAGAAAACTCCTGTAATGATATACATGACCTTCAGAAAAGAACTGACTTTATTTATCATGGAAGACTCAGGTTGGTTCATAGATACAAAAAATATATGAGGCTAGGACCCAATGATATAACAGCAGCTGCACCTTCAGTTAAAAAAGTTCTTGTACAAACTCACTTAAGTTTGATTAACTGTTTCCTCTTATGGAACTCAAAATGAAGAACACAGACAACAGAATAGGTAATTGTCCCAAATGAATCAACTTGCATTTTTAGGAACATACCCATTCGCTCTGAATGTCATGGAGCGAGAAGAGACAAAACCAATTCCTGTGCACTTAGGAGCTGTACAAAATATGAACATAAGGGACAGAAAAGACTGGGAAAGTTAGCAGAAACGTAACTTTTCATCAGCAAGCACACCAAGTCCAGCTTCATAGTGGAAATCGATCACAATGATGCTGCACTGCAGCTCATGGAAAACTGAGCAGGAAAACTGACTGCCACAGAATTGCAATAGTACCAGCTCATGGAAAACTGAGCAGGAAAACTGCCAAAGAACTGCAATAGTATACGGCCAGAATAAACCTCTGCTTTTGAAGCTTAGAAGGCTGTTTTTTTGTTTTTTGACCGGGAAGAGGGAAGGTCGGTTTGAAGAACCTTTACTTGGTTACTCTACATTTTGGCAATCCCTGTAGCTGCAGCAGTAGTTCCAAAACTTCAGTATGGATATTGTCACACATTTGTTTGAATACACTTAAAATATCTTCAAAATGAAGAAGGTTGAGATAAAAAAAATGCCGAATAAGCAGGTAACAGCCAACTCTGAATTAACAGGCAATAAATAATATATAATAGTTTAGCTAACAACTTAAGCACCTGAAGCCATAGTTGCTCCAAAGACACAGGACACAACTGGGCATGATTCTTTTAATATTCTCTGTATAAAAAGGCACATGCATAGTTTTCAAGTTGTAACAAGCACTACTTCTACTGTTTTTGGCGTTTAAATTTCACATACTTCCAGCAATGTAAGGTACATGATGTACTGCTGAAATGTATGGCACCAACTACTATTGGCCACATTAGTAAAATATTACAGAAGATAATATTGTGTTAAATTCTCCTATACAATAGCTGGGAATTAAAACTGAATCATGTTGTGATATGAAAGTTGGCAACTGAAGTCCATATTGCAGTGAAAATACATTGTCATACAACACTGAACACCATGGAAAGAAACTGTTCATAAGACACTTGTATCCAGCCATCCTGATCAGTATCATATCGTCTGAAGATATCTGTCCATTTCTGCAAATAAAGAACAAATTAATATCATTTTTTTCTTATGAATAAAATCATTCAGTTCTAGTTCTTATGAATAAAATCATTCCGTTCTAGAGGGTCTAGAGGGGCAGGGTATAAATTTAATTAATTAATTAATTAATTCTATTTTCACCATGAGATGATCGGTTTTGGTGATTATCACTGTACAGGAAACACTGCAAGTAGAGTTAGAGAATATTTCCTGTAGCAGGCTACTGACATACAGAGAATCAACTAAACCTGCCCCCCCCGGCAGCTGCTCCTTCGATGCTCCACAGGCACTGAGGCAAAGGGATCGGTGGGACCTGGACTGGGTGCCAGTGTGGTAAAGGGGGATGAAAAGGAGAAATAAATACTGAAACCCCCTTCGCCATCCTCCCTTTATTTCCTCTTCCCACTCCCTCCCCACTTTTTCCCCATTTAGTACCCAACAATATTTTGAGATTTAGGTCTTTATCTTTCTGCCTTTGTTCTTAATTTCAGCTATTGATCTGGGCCTGGTTTGGGCCCACAGGGGTTGGCTGGGTGCTCCTAATGCCCCACCCTGCCTCCTTCCCCAGTTGCCCAATCAGAAGCAGCACTGTGGGCTTCCCTGCCCCACCTCTTGCTCTGATTGGATGCCTGCATAAGGGGATACGGCAGGGCATCTGGAGCACCTGAGATTAGAAGTAGAGATGGGGATGAAGTGCCAAAATGGCACTTCGTCTTGGTTCGTAGGTTGTCAAATTTGATGACCCACAAATTGCCCCCAGTGGCCCGATGACCCATGAATCAATTCGTCAGTTCATTGGATCTTTTTTATTTTTATTTTTTGGACAGCCCCTGGGGTTATATATATAAAAAGCCCTGGCTAACAGCCTGCCCCTACCGCCTTCCCTCCTCCCTCCTCCTGCTCTGTGGCACCTTCCACAGAAACAGAAACTAGACTGATGGAACCGCGGTTTCAGTTCCAGCAACCTAGCTTTTGCAAGGAGGAGTGGAGAGGGCTTCCCTTTTGGCAAGCCTAACTGATGCTATTCTCCCGCTGTCTTTCCACAGACAGCAGGGGTGGGGGATTGCTTAGATCAGGGTTTGCTCCTTTAGTCCCCTTTCCCTCCTCTTCCTATGCACCAGCACGGATAGGAAAAGGAGTGAAGCCTGATCTAAGAAATCCCCCACCCCCACTGTCTTTGCAAAGATAGCGGGGGTGGGGGATCGCTTGGGTTCCCCTTCCATCCATAGGAAGGGGAGCAAAGCCTGACAGAAGCAATCCCCTGCCGCGGGGGTGGGGAGTCATCTTTGCAAATACAGCAGGGTTGGGGAATTGCTTGGGTCCCCCTTCCCTCCTCTTTCCATGCCAGGTGGGCATCAAAGTGATACCCCATCCCTGCTGTCTTTGCAGACATAGCAGGGAGAATTTTTCTGGTCAGGCTTCCCTTGTGTATGTCGCAGGGGCATAGAAAGATGGGAAGCCTGAGCAAAGCGATCCCCTTGCTTTTTAAATGGGGTGCGATTCCCTTCACGCAGGCTTTAGCAAGCCACCTTAAGGGAAACCCCCTTTCTGCTTATGCCCCGAGGAACAGCTGATCCGCAGGGGCATAGGCAGATAGGGATAGACAAAGGGATGAATATAAAATGGTTATATTAGTTGCTTTGTAGTCGTCGGGGCACCTGGACCCTAAGAATACGAAGCAACAAATCTCTGATGAACTGGGGATATTTGTTGATATCCCGATTCATTCTTATATTCATCGCCCTGCTGAGGGTTCACAGAACACCAAGGTGCACCCTTTGGGAACCCTTCACCTAGGCCTTGGCTAGAGAAGCAGCTTTACAGAGTTGAACTTCGAAGATTGCTCAGAAGAGCTAACATCTTTAATTAAGTCCTCTAGTTTATGAATGTGGGATATTGCCAGTATGTCTAAAATACAAGCCAAAAATGGTCTTACATTTCTAGCCATATAAAGTTGTATTTCTTGTAGGCCTTTGGATTGCCTGGTTCCCCTATGAAGAAAGACCCAATATACTCAATCCATGTATATGCTATTAAATAAGTAGAGAAACTACTAAGTTTCAATTCTGTTTCAGTTCACATCTATACCTAGGGTGGATTTCCCATCAGGGTGAGTGATTTAAAGATAACCTATAAATACAAAATTCCATCAGCTTGTTCAAATCTACCCATAAGCTCAAACACAGGTTGCAGAAAAAAAATATGATACGTCCTAGAAATCTTCCCCCTACTGATGATTTTTGCCCTAAACATTCTGTATCCCAGTTAGGTATTACCTGAAGGACAACACAGCATTGAATAAAGTCATCAAAAGCCACTTGTCCTCTTCTTTGCCTGTCAAACTTCTGAATAAGAAGATCGTAGAATTGGTCTGACAATCGATAACCTTGAAAGAATTGAAAACATTGAGGAGTCAAGTAAGGAAATAATCGAACTCTGAAAAAGTCATCAGTTAGCTGAGACAACATTCCACATATACATTTTCATGCATTGCAGCCCATGAAAGCTTACAGAATATAAACTTGCTGATCTTTAAGGTAGCACAAGTCGTGATCATTTTTACCGAGTTATGTAGTACAGCACATTATATTGACCAAACACACAATTAAATATAACAGTATAACAAAGGACAAAACAATGGAACAAAAATGGCACTTAAAACTATGATATATGCTTAGTAAATAATTTAACTTCAGTGGCAGTTAATATGTGTTGCAAATAAAAACAATGAAGTGCTGTGCTTCATACAAAATGTGTTATCTGTTCTAAAGACCAAAGTGAACATCAGGAAAACTGGAAATGAATGCTCTCAGACTTGGTCAGGATGCTCTTTCCTTTTGCTGAATGCAAATCACTCTCTCTAAAATACAGTGCAATGATTGATCTCCAGAGCAATCCCTTCTACCAAGTTTCGTACTACAAAAGTTAAAGATGAATAGCAAAGTGTTGGTGCTATTCTCAGTTACATAGGTTGCCATGGTTAAGACACAGGATTTTATCCTGCTCATGGGAGCATCCTCTGAGCATCTTATGGACATCTTATCTGTCTAAAATGCATGGGCGCCATTGCAGCAGGTGGTGCAGAGCTCTTCCATTCATGGAAACATAGTGAGAAATGTTAGCCATGCAAAATGTTATTAAAACAATTCTATACAAAACATGTAGTTATTGAAGTCAATGCACCCTCTAATTTTCAGCCCTGCTGGGCGGGACTCTACCTCTCTCTCTCATGACTTCGCCCTTGCATGTATGCACAACTCTGCTCCCCCCATGCAGGATTCTGTCATGACCAGAATCAAAGGGGCTGAAAACAATAGCTGTACAGAGGAGGAGGAAAGCTGTGTGGAGGAAGGCAGAGTTGTGGCACCTTAAGGGGAACCTTGATTGCAGTCAGGGAATAACACAAAACCTGAACACAAACTTATAAGGCAATATAGCTGTATACTCTCTCAGCTATAGCTTGCAGTTACCCTATACTTTGGAGATGCCTGGCAGAAACAGGAGCAGGATCAATCTCACGCCAGTCTCAAAGGAACAGAAACTTGTGCTCTACGCATTTCAGAACTCAGTATTTAAGGTGCACTGGCACAACAAGGAACGTAACAATCTGAACTCTGTTGGCACAGCCTGCATGCTTAATGCTGTTAATATTGTAAGTCACAACCTTTTATCTTTAATTAAAAGTTTCCTACCACCACCACCCCAAACCAGGTTCAGAGGCTCCCTAGGATGTCTTACAACCTGGGGATGGTGGCAATGATTTTCAAACAATAAAGACTTTCTCAGAACCTGAGGTAGGAAGATAAGAAAATTTTAATTAATGATAAAATGCAATGGCTGATAACATCATCAACCTTATGTGCATGGAGGTGTGTCAACAGAATGTGGCTTTCATGCTTACTGGACAGATGGTGGAGTATTTTGCATGGCAAGCTGTGAACATCTTATCTACCTGTGGTAGATAACAGCTCGGTTGCAGGGTTTCTGGATTAAAGACATCATCTAGATGAAGTACAGTCCTGGGCTTCAGGCCTACTTATGGATCATCACAATGGACAATTTCTGCTCAGTATCAGACAGAGAATGCATGTCTGCTGTCTGTTCTGCTTAATGTTTAAACAGGTTTTAATACAGTACTTGGTATCTTTCTCAAGTTGCCTGTTTGGGCTAAGATTCTGAGCCAGTGTTTAATTATGGCTTCAGTCCTTTCTGGAAGGGTAAGTTCAAAAGGTAGAGCTCTTCAATCCCCTGGCTAAGAGCCTCTTGTGTTCCCCAGAGCTCTACCTTGAATCTTATACTACTTAATTTATATATAAAACCACCAGGAGAGATCATTTGGAGTTTTGGGGTTCAATGTTATTAGTGTCTTGAAGATAAACAATTATTTCCATCTAAATTCAAAGAAGCTGTTTTGATTCTGTATTAGTGTCTTATGTGTGGAATGGTGGTGGTAGTCACACTTGCTGATGATTAGTCACTCAGGAGCATTTGGTTAGCAGCACCTAGCTGCCACTTAGCCTCTTAATTCCTATGGTAAGGATGTACTTAGTTTTCCACACATGGTTTCTCCATTTTGATTTTATTTTTGTAAAATAAATCATGATATGTCATGTCTTGTTCATCTGAAGTTGTATTTGCCCAGTTTTCTGACCTGCTAAGGACCAGATTATTTTTATTACATCCTGATATGTATAACCATAGAATTCAAAGAGTGTGTACTTTATTTTTTACATAACTGGAACTGGAACTGAACACACACTCTCAATGGTTTAATCCTCCAGTTTATTATACTGTACTTGTGAAAAACGAAGCACTTAAAACTATGATATATGCTTAGTAAATAATTTAACTTCAGTGGCAGTTAATATGTGTTGCAAATAAAAACAATGAAGTGCTGTGCTTCATACAAAATGTGTTATCTGTTCTAAAGACCAAAGTGAACATCAGGAAAACTGGAAATGAATGCTCTCAGACTTGGTCAGGATGCTCTTTCCTTTTGCTGAATGCAAATCACTCTCTCTAAAATACAGTGCAATGATTGATCTCCAGAGCAATCCCTTCTACCAAGTTTCGTACTACAAAAGTTAAAGATGAATAGCAAAGTGTTGGTGCTATTCTCAGTTACATAGGTTGCCATGGTTAAGACACAGGATTTTATCCTGCTCATGGGAGCATCCTCTGAGCATCTTATGGACATCTTATCTGTCTAAAATGCATGGGTGCCGTTGCAGCAGGTGGTGCAGAGCTCTTCCATTCATGGAAACATAGTGAGAAATGTTAGCCATGCAAAATGTTATTAAAACAATTCTATACAAAACATGTAGTTATTGAAGTCAATGCACCCTCTAATTTTCAGCCCTGCTGGGCGGGACTCTACCTCTCTCTCTCATGACTTCACCCTTGCATGTATGCACAACTCTGCTCCCCCCATGCAGGATTCTGTCATGACCAGAATCAAAGGGGCTGAAAACAATAGCTGTACAGAGGAGGAGGAAAGCTGTGTGGAGGAAGGCAGAGTTGTGGCACTTTATTTATTTATTTATTTATTTATTTATTATTTATTTATTTATTGCATTTATATGCCGCCCATCTAGACATAGTCTACCCCCCCCTTAGGGGGAACCTTGATTGAAGTCAGGGAATAACACAAAACCTGAACACAAACTTATAAGGCAATATAGCTGTATACTCTCTCAGCTATAGCTTGCAGTTACCCTATACCACTGGTTCTTAATCTTGGGTTACTCAGGAGTTTTGGACTGCAACTCCCAGAAGCCTTCACCACCAGCTGTGCTGACTGGGGTTTCTGGGAGTTGCAGTTCAAAAGCATCTGAGTAACAAAGGTTAAGAACCACTGCCCTATACTTTGGAGATGCCTGGCAGAAACAGGAGCAGGATCAATCTCACACCAGTCTCAAAGGAGCAGAAACTTATGCTCTACACATTCCAGAACTCAGTGTGTATTTAAGGTGCACTGGCACAACAATGAACATAATAGTCAGAACCCTGCTGGCACAGCTTGCATGCTTAATGCTGCTAATATCATAAGTCACAACCTTTTATCTTTAATTAAAAGTTTCCTACCACCACCACCCCAAACCAGGTTCAGAGGCTCCCTAGGATGTCTTACAACCTGGGGATGGTGGCAATGATTTTTGAACAATAAGGGCTTTCTCAGAACCTGAGGCGGGAAAATAGGAAAATTTTAATTAATGATAAAAGGCCTGATAACATCATCAACCTTATGTGTGTGAAGGTGTGTCAACAGAATCCACCCTTTCTTAGATCAAGGATGGGATGGCCACTGTGGCTTTCATGCTTACTGGAGAGATGGTGGAGTATTTTGCATGGCAAGCTGTGAACATCTTATCTACCTGTGGTAGATAACTCGCGCTCTCGGCTGGGCCTTAAAAGATTAATAAACAAATGTCTGGACTATTTATCCATTAACAAACTTCATTTAAATTATCTGAAATCAAAAATTCTAGTTTTCTCCAAGTCCCGCAAAATATACAAATGGACCTTTAATCGTCATTCAATTGAACAGGTGAGGACCTTCAAATATCTGGGATTACTATTCTCAGCTGACTGTTCCTGGGTGGGCCACCGTAATATGGCACATGCAACTGCCAAAACATCTTCTACGGCTATCTCCAGATTCTTCTATAACAAAGGGGGCCGCCTAATCCCGGCAGCCCTCAAAATATTCAATGCCAAATCCATTTCTCAAGCTTTGTACGGCATCCCTATTTGGATCAACGCCTATCACAAATCATTAGAAAATTTTCAATCAGTTTTCTTGAGAAGAATCATGGCCATGCCAAACTGCGTGCCGTATGAGGCGTTATGCCTCGAAACGGGACAACTCCCAGTAAAGGACGTTGCTTGGCACAGAACTTGCAAATATTGGCTAAGAATATACTTTGACCCCTCCCAAACAACCCTACTCTATCATCTAAAAAAAGATAGTTGCCCTCCTGCTGATGGCTGGCTAAGGAAGATTGAACAGATTGGTCTAGATCCGGAGTCCTTGGGTTCTCTCACGTTCCAGGCCGCCTTAAAAACCGTCAAACAAAGACTGGCCGACATTGATTCGCAAAACTTATTAAGTGCCGCAAACAGATCTTGCTCACCTCTGTTCTGGAAACTTCCCCTGGTAGTAGGCAGCCCACCGGCCTACATTTCCATACTGCATAATCCCGAAATCAGAAGGGCAATTTCGTTAGCCCGCTGTAATTCAATTCCCTCGGCGGTGCTAACAGGCCGATTTAATAATATCCCCTTCAATAACAGATTATGCCCCTGCATGATGAATGTTGTAGAGACGTTACCCCACATCTTATTTCATTGCCCACTTCATTTGACCGCGAGGGACAAATTCCTCGCCTCCTTTCCACAACGAAAGCCCTGGCTTACTGACGAAGCATATTTTAGTTTTATTTTACAGCGGTCCGACGAGCACTTTTTGACTATCCTCGGCAAATTTTTGCTAGACATAATCCAAACTAATACAGAACGAGAATCCAATCCTAAGTTTTAGTGTTTT